TATTTGAATACTTTCATCTACCTCTGCAGCGAATTTCATCCTCTTCAATTCTGATTGGCTTCCGGAAATTAGCATTTTCCTCTCCGTGCTTAACTTTTGGAAGTGAGTATACTTCTCCTTTCTAACTCTCAATCTTTCCTAACTTTCCAACTTAATGTACTCTCTCTCATAATGCGCACATCTCTCATACTGTTAGATAAAAGCAATTATCTAAGAAGGAAACTAATGAATGTGATATTTTTTAAATTAATTTAAGCTGAATAGCAGTTTAATTTAATATATTAAGAATTTGTAAATTGTACAAAATATGAAATATAGCAATAAAAAATCCAGATTTTGTATTACGCCCAAAGGGACTTTTTAAACACTTTGTGTGTTACATTTTTATAAAATTTCACGTTCCTCGTACTTAAATCATGTGAAGTTTAATTCAGCAGTAATATCACTAAATATTTAAAAAGTGCATCGCATATATTTTTAGAATTTCCAATAAACAATCTTGCGCGCTGGAGATATAAATGTGTTTTACCCCCTGGTAAAATGTCGCCATTACATCTAGTTGTGCACTTTTGTATTTCAATCTGCGAAACCAAACGTATATATACATCCCATGTAGCACATGACGTAGCAAACATGTTGCCACGACCACTCTGCAACCTTTTTGGATCAGTTTGCAACGTCTTTGCTACATCATTTGCTACTTGGGATATATATACACATCCACACCCTTACCCGCCTTTAATGCCCTTACCTGGCCTTTATTTTCGCAATTCGTTGGTCATAGTCATATACTTCCAGTTACAGAAGGGATTTAAATGACAAAAATATTCATGTTTTGGTAATTTCAAATTTTAAAAAATAATAATAATTTTCGACAAATAGTGAAATCTTACTTTTCCGTTTTCTATACTTATATTTGGGAAAGTTTTCTACTCGTTATGAAAAAAGTAAAACAATAACTCCCGTACGACAAAAATTGACCGGGATATTTAATTTCAAAATATGAAATTTTTAATATCATTTTCAACTTGCCTCGAGGGCTCGGTTAATTAAGTTCGAATAATTTGAGGAAATTAAGTTAAGTGCAGCAGAAAATGTGCATAATAATTTAATAGGCCTTACAAGGAAGTCATGTGATGTCTGCATTGGATTTCTTAAAAAATACTTAAGCGATGTAGTTGATAATAATAATAATCGATAAATGCTAAATGCATTTGCTCCATATGATGCTTGAATAATCTTTCTTGCGCTTGTTAGCAATTATATTTTCACGTATCATATTATTGCTTTAATAGAAAGCCACGTAAGTGTAATAATACAATATATACTATTTTACTTTTTATTTGTGTTATGCATTCTCAGTTCCCATGCATGCTTTAGGTATGCAAGTTAACTGTAAAAGTTTCCAGAAAAATTCGCATCTTACCGCATCCTACATAAAATAACGGCGATTTGCGGAACATTTCTTTATCAGACTTTGCAAATGTCGATGAATGTATGCTATAAATGACAGTATTTCACTGTCCCATTTCCATAGTTGCATGAGAACTTCTGTGATGAACCTTATTAGAAACTTTATTGGAATTTGGAGTAACACTTCTGGCGAAACGAAATTAAATATTTCTATTCAACAGATTATAATAGCAGCAAGTGTTAATATTAGCAAAGGTACACATATTCTTTTAACTTATTTCCAACTGATTTTAACTATTTCCTTGCTTTAAAATCTAATAAAAGATTCTAAAGTGATCATTTGAATATTCTATTTCCTTTACTGCTATATATAATTTAAATATATATGAAAGAATGGATTTCTGTTAGCGCTTTCAATGGTTTTTATAGTCAACGATAAATTTGTTTAACAACCAAAAGGAACTGTTCTGAAGGAATGCAAGTACAAGTAGATTGTTTAACACATAATTCCTTCTGGAAAATAAACGAAATTCTGAGAAATGTTTTAAGGTGCTTACTGAATATAGTTGGTTACGGTTATAAACAGATCGTGAATATACTGAGAAAACAAATAGCAATGTATAAGTGCAGTGGGCTAACGAAACAAAAATATTCAATGAGCAATAAAATTCATTGTATGCCATTAAATTGATAAAACTTCGGAACTCTTTTAATGAGTTAGTTGTAACAAAACATATATTTTTATTTGAAAGAAATATATTTTGTTAATTTCAATATTTTTGCACTTTTTGTCGCTAAAAGTCTTTCACTTTACGGATTAATTAAAAACCATTCTCTTAGTATTTCTTGAACACTTGGCTTACTACGGTCATAGTCATGCTCAGTTTTATTACAGCATCCTCTCTTAAAATTGAGCACTTTTAGATACCCCCACAAGATAACAATTTTTCTTTTTTCTTGTATTACTCATATTATAGCCAAGAAGAAATGCACAGTTCACTCTTTTTTTGCATCATGACATTTCTCTTGTTTGAATGACAAATTTTAATCAGAAATCATTCGGAATAATAATCCGATTTCGTCAACACTGTAAAGATCTCAAATATCGAAATCATGACATTTCTCTTGTTTGAATGACAAATTTTAATCAGAAATCATTCGGAATAATAATCCGATTTCGTCAACACTGTAAAGATCTCAAATATCGAAATCTGCATAGCTTGTTTTTAAGTTAATACCCCTGACCTGAATAACTGCTTTGGAAACAGAGACAGATACATATACAAGTGATAGTAATTAATATATGAAGCTTTACATGTTTTTATATATCTTCTGTGAGTTTTTAAGTCTAGATGTCTATTTACAATGGTCATGGCCTTTTCTTTCCAAAAAAATAATATATATATATATATATATATATAATAACCCATGAGCAAATTTCGTGTCATAATATATGTAGCACTACCAGAAGGTAGTAAATGGTTACTTAATAGTAAAGGTAGTAAATGGTTACTTAATAGTAAAAGTAGTAAATGGTTGCTTGTAGTAAATGGCACTACCAGAAGGTAGTAAGTGGTAATAATTAAAGAATAAAATAATTTCAAAATTGTTTTTTTAATTAAAAATTAAAAATGTTATGTTCAACTAAACTGCGAAAAAAAAAGAGAGAGAGAAGCAGTTCTATATCTCCCGTTATACTGGGCTGATGACAAAATTCAACTTGCGTTTTTCATGTTTCGAAAGCGCAATTTAGGACATGAATTAGATTTATATATAATGTTGTTCTAATATAGGTATTTTGATACAAAATCGGACCTTTTTCTGAAACCATTTCAGGACATTTTTTGAAATGACATGCCAATTTTTTCCATATTTCGATTCGACGACTCAAATTATGCCAAACTGCCAAGTTTTGTAAAAATTCCGTGAGTTGGTTTTTAAAAAATTAGCTCTCAAAATTTTAGCTGATCAATGTTAATTGAATTTGGTATATATATTTTTTATATCACTTTTTTTATTAAACTTACTTGATTTTTCCTTTCACATTTCGAAATTTAGGTTCATTCCGAATAAAGTTCACCCATTTTATATGATTTATTTTTAAAATTTGCATTTTAAAATAATTTTTACGAATTTTTCGAAAAAAAATTGAGTTATAACCTATACAATTATTAACATCATCTTAAAGTCATCACGTATTTCGTTTTTACGTACACCTGCCAAAAAAATTGGAGATTTTTATTTAAAATTTCCTAAGATATACATGAATTTACATACTGGCGCGTTTTTAAATTTGGCATATTTGTTATAAGCGATAATAACGCCAAATGTGGTTTACGCACCTTGTTAAAATTATTTGAAAGTATGAACGATGACTTTTTTCTGCTCGTCTACAATGAAAAAAAAAGGAAAGGATAATGAATTGCTATAAATTAAGAAGTTCGACAAGTAAATTATTCTTGGCGCAAACGTAAAAATATGCGCCAAGGTAAAGGTTGGAATTTCGCACCGTAAATTCTCCGTAATTTCGCACCAATTTTCACAAAATTTAATATTTAGGCGTAATTTGAGTCGTAGAATCGAAACATCGAAAAACATTGGGATGTCATTTCAGAAAATGTCCGATTTTGTGTCAAAATACCTTTATTAAAACAATGCTATATATAAATCTAATATATATCCTAAGTCGCGTTTTCAAGACATAAAAAACGCAATTTGAATTTCGTCAATCGGCTCAGTAGAACGGGAGACATAAAACTTTTTTTTTTTTGGCGCAAACTACAGTCCCGCCTCATTCACTGTGGATTTCCGCCCTAGTTTTGAGGAAGAATATCCTGGGGGGGGGCTGTCCGAGAATTTTTCGCTTTGTATGAGTGCCCCATCCAGCATAGAAGCATTATATGCTTCTCCTTCAAGCCTTTTCCAACTGCTTAAGCTTTCTTCATTCATGCCTTCTCCAGAATTTGAGCTCGAACTCATCGGTACTGCAGCCAGCGTCGCTAAACACTATACCGGCTGGGCGACTGTCATGATATGCAACAGTAATGAAACCATTCCCGAATGGGAATGCCGGACAAGGTTTTCTCACATTTAATTAAAAGATACCTTTGTTTGAATTGAGAGTAAGAGAAATGCTAGTTCATTTATGCATTCTATTAAAAATGTTGTAGGCGGGACCTATGTTTTAACTTAATCCAAATTAACTATTTCGTGTCTTTCTGATAGCCAAATTATTTGTATATCCAAAATATTTATAAATAGTAGTGAGAATCGGACCGTATTACCGTAGACGTTAAGTCAGTACGAATATTTCTGCAATACTCTAGCGCTAGTTTTAATCGAATTTCGGCTGCATATATGAAACTATTTGATGTTTAAAGCGCACGGATATGTGGATGACGCAAAGCGCTGACAAAGTTTTGGGAATATTTACTCCATATTTGCTGAGCAAATAGAGCAATGTCAGCTCGTTAGGAGTAATGCGCAGAAATGGGTACCGTTACAAATTGGTTGATAGACCGGCACAAACAAGAGCAATATCAACAGAGACGTCAATCAGCCTGCCTTAGGAAGGGGAGTCTTCCCCTTTCCGCCCACCTCCGGCTGGAATGGTCGAAGCCCTGCTTCCGGACCGTATTCACGCTCACTCGCGGAGTCAACGCAGATCGACGTGGTGCGGGTAACACAGCTGATCGCTACGCGATCCACAACAGAAGATAACTCGGTGAAAAGCCAAATGCAACGTGATTGACCGTTGGCCAAACTGATGATGCCATAATTTTTTTCTACGTCTGAGTCCAGTTCGCACACGTAAGAGACGTCTGAATTCGCTTGCAAACTGATGAAGAATTTTACTGCGCCTTGTTAAAGTAATGGTAAATAATGACTTTTTTCCTCATTCTTATAGAATGTGTTTTCAGGCGAATTGAGCGGTATTGTATCCTTCAAATTTTACAAAACTGACACTAAAATTCAATTAATTAAGGCTTTAATAGTATTCTGTGAGTAATTTTTAATTGCGTTACCTGTTGTTTTAATTTTTTGTTCCATAAATTTAAGTAATTAATTACTATTTTACAAACTTCCTTCTCTTTGAAACTTGTGAATACAGCATAAATTCTATTCAAACCTGATCAGCTTAATTACTTTATTAGTTAGATATGATGAGGCATGTAAGTTACTAAGGTCCATGTTAGCGCTTTTTAAGTTAAGCAATTTAAATTTGTTTTCCATTTCATTTCAGAAAATTATTTATCTCTGGCTATGTATCAAAACGTAACTGAAACATTTGATAGATTTATTATCAAAGCACTATGAAATCTTATGAACGAATAACATTAATTCGAATTAGAATAAGCTTCTTATGCATTCCAAATTAGACTAAAACAATACTTAACATAAAATTCAAGTAGCATATTGTAAACTCTAAGGAAAAAAAATACAATTATGTTTCAGATTTAATTTATTTTTACGTTACATTCTTATTGGTTTCAGCAAAGCATTTTTTAGCAGTTTATCGGTAATAGCTTTATCTCTAATAGGATACCTGTAATATTGTGATATTGCTGTGTGCTAATACTTTTCGCAGAATGGATGAGAGCTTTAAATTTTTTTCCCAAAATTACAGCCAATTAAAATGCTTAATTAATGTAAACAATACATAGTTAAGCCAAGTTTTTAATACGTTTTGTGGTATTACACATCTGCGTACTGATGATTCATCTTGTAATTTAAGACAATAATTAATTGTTCATTAAAACTGTAAAACATTTATGGTTTATTATTTTCTATGCCGAAAAAAAGCTCACAGAAATTAAAAGTAAAATTTTCTTCTTATGCTGGTTTTTAATCAATTAGTACCGTTACGTGGATTTCGTAACAGAAGAAGATAATATCTCTTAATTACCAAATGTTCAATTCTATTATTATGAAATTAAGAATTTATTCTTCGCTATTGCCATTATATAAGTACATGCATCATTTGCTTCATATAAGAAACATACGGTGGTCATTAATTTTGAAATGACCCTCTTCAGGGAGATTCATTATACACATTTGGTTATTTGTGGAACTTGAAGGAATAAAAGACAAAAATAAAATATTAAATAACCCAATGGAAACATTAAACATTCTGTAGTAATTAAGCTATACTATATTCCTTTACTGAGAAATTAGAAGCAACTTTACTATTCTTAATCAAATACCAATGACATAATTTTCTTTTCTAATTCTGCATTTTCCAAACTAATTTGTCTACCGTTTCTCTTCATCGTCGACTGCTGTGCTATGAATATGGGAAAACTACCACTAGAAATATGCAAAAATAATTACGCATTTCGTGCCAATTTATCTCAGTAAATTCACTTCAGTGACACTAAGCCAATAGTAAAGAACAGTACCGATCAAACATGACTGCATCTTTGATGTATAAAACCATGCAGCTCGTCATTATCATCATTATCTTAATGTCAGAGCAGAAAGTTTAATCCTCTTCCCCATATATAACTATATATATATATATATATATATATATAGATATTAATATGTGTGTGTAAAATAAAAAATTTGTAAAAAGATAAATAATAATTTAAATTAGCAAGTTTACCACACACACACACACACACACACATATATATATTATATATATATATATATTGTAAATGAACGAGATATTGATAGAAAATATATATATATATAAATTAGCAATAGCCTCTTAATGCTAAAATTAAATTAATTTCTCCTTTCTATTCTACAAATAGTAATCTTGCTTTGCACTGCGTCATTTCGAAAGAAATTCATTCATGTGACTTTTACATAACACTTATGATAAAAATGGAACTTTAAAACTCAAAAAGCCAATAATAATTTTGCAGCACTATTAATTATCCCATGAAAACGCTTTGAAAACCAAAACTTTGCTTTAATCCCGAAAGCAAGGCACTATTTTCTACGCTTCGGCATAGCTGGACTGTTGCCTGCTGTTCTCTTCTTACTGCAAAGCTATCACAAATATAAACATTTTGAAATAGCAGTGTGCCAAGTTGTTTGTAGCCTCAACATGTTTACTGAAATATAAACGAAAATTTAATCTGCTTCGGCTGCCATTTTACTATTCATTCTGGATCAACATTCTACGCAATCAAAATTCTTGCTCTTTATTATGGATCTACATTCTACGTTTCTATGCGCCATCAGTGTCTCTAGGTAGGTGTGCAATTATTTTTTTTACAACATCAGTACTTCTAACTTTGCTTTAATTACAGTGAGTGTCTGCTTCATTACACACACAGACACGCGTAAGTATATCATTACTATTATTGCTATGATTATTAATTTCGTAGCATTTTGAGCGACAAAAATCTTTTGTTATTATAACACAGTTTAATTCTAAAATACAAACGCCCCAGTGGATAAAATATACTCATATACTGTACATAAATGAAGCAAAGCACATGATATTATACACAAATACTTTTCTGCTTTCCACATCAAAAGCTAATTTTAAACATGCAGTAACATCTCTAATCTTAATTAATCAAATTAAAACTATCTGATAGTCGATATCATCCTTTCGCAAAGTTAGCCGATTAAATAAGGTCTTTCTTTTCGCAATCATAGGTACGTCTTTCTCCGCATGCAGTTTGCAACAGCCAAGTCTCAGTCCTACGTCCTATCTTCACATTTTTCAAAATCTTATTGTTTCACTTCCGTTGATGATCCTAATAACTTTCTTCATTGCTTGACTCACTGTTTATGAGTTTGCAAACAATATACGGGAAAAAACACAAAGTCCCATGAAAACTTTATAAAGCGGATTGTTTACTGAATGCTAGCAACAGGCCTACGGACCCTCATGGACAGTCCTAACATTGTCTCAAAAGATATGAAAAAGTGCAGTGCTCACAGTTTGACTCATGGAATTCGAGTCGTGCTGCAAACAAATGGCGTATACCAAACAAAATTTTATTTACTAAAGAAATATTGATTATATTATCTCCTAATATAAATTTAGTAGAATGTGTCAAAATGGGGAACTCAGAAGTATGAAATTAATTTCCGAAAATTGTTTTTTTAAAAGGAACTTGAATTTAAATCATACAAAAAAGCTTTTTAAGGGGACTTGAATTTAAATCATGAAAAAGATTTTGAAAGGTATTTGAATTTAAAACATGAATAACAAAAATTAAAATTTTGAAAAAGAGAATTAATAAACCAAGTAATTATCGTCATTGATCGGAAATTAGTCGACTTTTCAAGGGGAGCAATTATTGTTCCCCTTGAAATTATTGTATTAATTATTAATGAACAACTATTGCTCATTGAACGGAAAATGGTTTGTTCCCCTTGAAAAGTCAACTAATTTCGGGTCAATGACGATAATTACTTGGTTTATTAATTCTCATTTTCAAAGTTTGAATTTTTGTTGTTCATGTTTTAAATTCAAATACCTTTCAAAACCGTTTTCATGATTTAAATTCAAGTCCCCTTAAAAAGCAGCTTTTTTATGATTTACATTCAAAAAGTTCCTTTAAAAAAAACAATTTTCGAAAATAAATTTCATACTTCTGGATTCCCTATTTTGACACATTCTACTAAATTTATATTAGGAGATAATATAATCAATATTTCTTTAGTAAATAAGATATTATTACCTTCTTACTTTGCAGCTATTGAGCAAGTATTTGAAAAATTTGTTTTCGTTTTCAATGAATCATCCAATATTATATATATATATATATATATATCTAATTAATAAAATTAAACGAAAAAATCGGAACTAAAAGGATAAATGATAATTTCTTCTCTATGAAAGCCCTAACCAATTCTTTCTTCATGAAAGACGTAACCCAAAAGGAGTATATGTAAAATTAAAAGAAACTTCAAACATATATATACTAAACTGAAAATTATACAAAATAGAACCATAAACAAAAAATATATATTAATTTTTTCTGTTTAATGCTTCAAACAGAATTTGTCTAGGGAAAAGTGTTTTGAAGCCTTAAGCCAAGTTGTTTAATTACTTCCGAATAAATGTTTCGTTCCTCTGAATCATTTGCTATACAAAACGGCTATTTTAAAATCAAATCTTCACTTTAAACAACATTTTAGTGGCTCTCAAATGTTCAGACCTTTTTTTCTATATGAATTCGCAATCTCAGGACTACAAAAATGATATACAAAAGTAGAAACAAAAAATTAAAAACATAAAAAGCAGAAACATTTTATGGTAATAAACCTGAAAAAACAAAATGCTTAAAAATCTAAAAAGGCCAAATGAACTAATTGCAAACATATACATCAATGGAAACCCTAAACAAAGGAAATAATTTTTTTCCAAAATAAAAAAAAATTATTTGGTCAGTATTTAAAGCATAAGGATGGCTCGAGAGCGTATATTAGCTTTTTCTATTATTTTGATTCGAAACATTTTTATTTAATACGCTTTCGAGCAGCATATAGGTACATACACATATATATGTAAGAAAAATAAAGAATATGTATAAGAGATTAAATTTGCAACGTAAATTTCCCTTCTCAATTCTAAAAATAGTAACCTCTCTATTCACTGCGTCATTTATAGATTAATCCATATCATATGACTCTTACATAATTCTGGTCGTGTAAATGGAACTAAAACGTAAGCAGCCAATAGTAATTTTATAGCAATATTAACTATCCAAGCAAAATGCATTGGGAACCAAAACTAACTCAGTCTGAATAAAGATTTCCTCCTGAACATAACGCACTTGCTTTCTACGCTTTGGACTGGCCAAACTGCTATCTGTCTGCTTCTTATTACTTACTGCAAATTTATCTAAAATGTAAAAATTCTCAATATAGGCGCGATTTATGGGCCAACTTGATTGTGGCC